AATCTGTTTCGGTTTCAGTGTTATTTTTGATGGAAGATGCTCATCAAGTCTCATTACAAGTGTCTATTGATATCAGTCACATTCGAAACCGAGTTTTTGATTATACCCGTTTAGTACAGTTCAGTGTACGTTGTTGGCTGCTCTGAAATGTTCGCTGTTTTCAGAACCCGTTCCAGAAATAACATCAATTCGAAATGAGTCGGTTGCAGTTGGAATGACGGCGTATTTGCATTGCCTGACACAAAATACGAATCCAACAATTCAGTGGATGCGTGGCAATAGCGTGATTCGCAATACCGATAGGACGGTTGGTTTAATTTCACAAAAACCTCCATTCATAGTGAAGTTAACTTCAGTATCGATCAAGAACAAAAAAACTAACAGTTGAATGCTGTCCTTGAAGAAAATTTTCTCAGGGCGTTCGAAAACGATGGTTTCGATTTGACGTGCAACATTGTTGCAAAAGTATCAAAAAAGTTTTGTTAAGAAAACTTGAAATGTTGAAGAAAAGATTAATGTACGATTAATGAAAAAAAAGAACTTCCTATTGAGTTTTTCACTTAAACTGTTATCTTTCTAGCGATTGTTCCAAAATGGAACCCTAATGATACCGAAGGTAACTCTTCAAGATGGTGGTGCGTATAGATGTCGCGTTCAAACAGCTGGTGGCACCACTGAAGCAACGCTTCATCTGAAAATACTTGAACTGCCCCGAGCAGCTGTGTATCCTACATCGCTGTTTTTTGTTCGAGGACAGTCCTTCAATATTTCATGCCATGTTACAGGTCAGACGGCTATCCTCAGCTTGTTTTAAGCATATCCTCTTTTCATGATGGTTCACATGAGAAATTCACTTTACTAATAAATGTCCCAGCTACGGTTCTAATCACCGCTACCAATAAAATGCTTCCAGGTGACCCAAAACCAGAACCTCAATGGTATTTCAGAGGAAATCTCATCAAACCAGACCATCGTAAATACTACATCACCTATAAATGTTAGTTTCGAATGAAGTTTATCGATGTAATCAACGAATTCTTTATTATTAATCGCATTGTCGAATTTCATCAAACGTATTCGAATTGCTCAGCACTGCGTTCATTGTTGCACGTTATCATGGATAAGTAAGAAGTCAAGTGGTAATTCTCAAATACGCCATTTAGATGATTTGATTGTGCATCGTCCGTTCGAATTGGATGCTGGAGTGTATGAATGCCGTGCGCATAATCAAGCCGGCTATCACGTTGACAGTGCTGTTGCTCAAATGGCCAGTATGTTGGACATTTGTTTACTCCTACCGGATAAGACTCAGCAGAGAATATCGCCTAAAAATTATGTTTTAGGAATGCTATTGGAATGCAATTGTGATGATAAAAGTCAAAACCATTCCCATTTTATGATGACAATCCAGTGCGAAGTATTACGTCTCGTAATGCGCACTTTGACTATTTTCTTGTTCTTTCGCAACCGTGATGTTTCTTTTCATCAAAATTTTGATGTTTCGAAAACGCAGATGGCGTCGAATTTGTTCTTTGATTTTGTTCAACAATTCTATGAAAACTTTTCTCCTCAGTAAAACCGAAAGTGAAGGTGACTCGAGACCGGCAGATGATCGGCCGAGGTGATCGTGTTACGCTCGAATGCCAGGCTAGTCTTTCATGAATATGAACCGTTGCTTCTTAAAAATACTGTCAAAAATGTGTATTCTTGCCCCATAAAATTATTCGGACAATTCTTATCTCATAAATTCAAATGATATTTGTAATGAAACTTTGCAATTATTCACTGATTATCGCACACAAATTTCACTTGCTTCAGGAACATTATTCGATGAATCCATTATTTTCATGTTTCCTGATATAGATAGTTTTTGCTGTTTACTTTCAGCGGATGAGAACTGGTGTTTTCGGATTGAAATTT